CCTTACTTGAAACTATGGTGATATCGACGGTGGTGTTCATAGTCGCAGTGGAGCGAGGGAGAGTAGCTACACAGGTGTATATCCCAGTCATATTCCTGGTGGTAGTCACTATATCAAGTTCCCCACTCTCACTGACCATCTTCCCATCAGGAGAGATCCATTGTAAAATTGGTTGAGGGTCTGAGTTTGACCCACCACACAATAGATGTAACGTATTCCCTTCAGTAACCTCTGTTTCCCCCATAATGGATGGGGGGTTGAAAACTGGTGGAGATAATTAGTTAGTGATAGTGATACCAACTATAGTTACATACCTTTAAAGAGCAAAACTCCTACTTTTGCCATGAAAAACGCATTGCATAAACGTTTCTCACAGCATTTTATGTTTGTATCCCAGAATGTACTGAACACACTGCCACTGCCATTCACTACCAGTGTATCTGAAAGATCATGTGGATAATTCTTCACAACTCTTCCCAGAGTGCTGTTGGAAGTAACAACTGTGTCATTCACCCTGAACACCACCTCATTAGTGAAAAAGGAAATTGGCGTGTAGTCACATTCGAAGCATACTGTATCCAGGGAGGCATTCACATAGATGATGGTGTTATTGACACTGGTAAGGTTCACAGTTGTCCCACAATCCTCAGGTCTTGGCTCAGATGAGTAGACTGTATATAGAAAGATTCATACAAAGTGCATTGTGACCATAAATACTGTGTAGACCTACCACAGCTCCACCAGAGCCAACAAATTAACAAATAAACGGAGAACATTTCGCATGAACAGCGGTTCATTCTGCCACTGACGGACCTCCTATAGGCTATAGCTAGGCAATGGTGAGCGCATGCGCAATTGCGCAACACGGGTGTGCGCGCGCATGCGCGTGCGATCGCGCGGCGGCGGGGGCCGCACAGAGGCGCGCCAGTTGTTTAGCTAGCTAGCTGCAGATAGAAAGTAGAGAGAGAGGGGGTAGGTTTCAATCATGTTTAAGATTGCCTACACCAACACTTGGAGGTCATAATCTCTCAGTTGTACTTGCATTGGAACAGGTGAAACATACAATCTCAGTCCAGTACAAGTGTAGATATCTATTGACCAATGTGACTGTTACGTGTGATGGGAATTGTAATGCATGATATGAAAGTCTTGGGCACTTGGACTTTGAATAGTGCGTTTTGATACATAAAACAAGAATTGTCACACAGAGTCTGCTGGAGAGCTAAGCTGAGCGTTTGTAGGATTTCAGTGGTATGGGTGGAGGAGTATCGGAAGACTTGCTCCTGTCATTATTAGGTTCACGAGAGGGTATGAGGGGTGGGGCCTCGTTTTGATACATCACACTATCAGGAACAGCATTGGAGACCTCAATGGGTAGCTCCCCTGCAATAAAACAAATTGTCAAAAGAGAAGAGGTCATGTGTATACAATTAGTTCCAATATACATTGTCTGTGGCATCTACTCACAACACACTTTACCAAAGGCATGCACACTTTGTCCAAGTGGGGCAAATCACCTGAGATGTAGACCTGTCTGAGGGAGCCAGCAAGGTCATGGTGACCAATGCTGTCCACCACATCAGCTATCTCCCTCCACGTGGGCTTGTTGGGGTGGAGGTTGGCCAGCCATCCATCCACCACCTCCACCATTGCCTCACTCTCACTACCCACCTGGACAGAGAGAGATCACAATAAGACAATACATTATTCCCATGGTTGACATACATATTCAGATATTTCGTCCAGCCTCTGTACACCAACTGCCTCTCCCAGTCTCCTCCAGTGAGGAGTGACTTCCTTCAACTGAATGAGGATCTGGTCCAGACTCACCTTTGAATCTGCAGAAAGTGATACACACTATACATACCGTCTTTCACAGCATAATACTTTTACTAGTACTTGGTTTTAGCATGCTGCATTCACTAATTCAACTGCGCTTGAGAATTTCTCACAAAAAACTTTTAAGGGATAGCAAATGACTTTTTGCAGGTATATAACAGCAAGTATGGCTTTAAGAAGGTAGAAAGAATACTCAGAGTAGTATAAAAGGTATACCCATACAGACCCCCTTTGAGTGCAAATTAAAAGTGACAGCACACTTCTGATGAGTACTACGATAGGCCCCTTGAAAATATGCTGAGTACAGATATTGACCAGCATACTAAAAAACAATGAGTTAGCTTCTGACCTAGATTGTGTGTTGGAGGAGGTGTCTGAGGAGGTGGTGGTTGTTGGCTGGCCATGGCATTGAGGTCCAGAGCGGCATACTCGACTCTATCTGCAACCAGACCAAAACCACCTCCTTCTGTGTTTAGACTCACTTCTGCATACAGCAGACCCTAGGAAACAACATGGGCTGGAGTCACATGAGCATGATAGTGCATTTGCATGTACATACATACCTTGAAACCTGTACCACAAACTTGAAAGGTCCACTTATGAACATGCAAGCACTTTTACGGAGATTGAAATGAATAACACTGGGCTGGAGTCATCTGCTACACATGCCTTTCAGCAAATCACCCATGGGAGAAGAAGCTAAAGCTTTTTCACAAAATTCAGAGTAAACACTACAGTTTTGTTTGGGAAAAGGGGTGGCAGTAGAGAGAGTGTAGAGGGGTGGGCATAGTATAGTGGCTTGCATGCTGGGTACAAGAAAATCCACCCACATGTTTGTAAAAGGTTTATGCAAGACTTTGAAACAACTCATTTAACTTTTCAACAGTTGGGGGAAACATGCATTGGCTGAGACAGTCACCTTTTGTTGATTCCCTTGTGGTGGTTTCTGAGCTACTGTTCTGCTGGGTTCAGGTGTCAGGTTTTCTTCCACCGTCTGGACTACACAGTATGCACCAATGAGTCCTGTTGTGTGCTCTGAATATTGCTGCTGTCCATTTGGCTTTCTGGTTTCTTGTGGTACTTCTGGTGGCTGAGGCACAAGTGATTGTTTTAGTTCATCCTGCGAGTCAGAATATGACCCAGAATACCTCACTAGTTGGTTCTGGTATGGTCGTGATCATTGAGTACTGTCCCAGGGGAATGGGAGGTGTGGTGGTAGGCTGGGGCTCTGAGGGTTTCCCATTGGGCTCTTCCGGTGTTGTTAGCTGTGACTCTATCACGAAAGACCGCCCATTTAGTGTTGTTGTTGCTGTTGTTCCTTCTGATGTTTTCTTGACCACAGGCAAGTACTGGGAATTTTTCACTGTCATTTGCTGCTGTTGATCACTATGGTTGCTATTAAGACAGATACACCTTATAATTCAAGTATAGTGGTTAGCTTCAACCCTTTTCTAGTGTAGCTCTAAGCCTATTCTAAGCACGTATAGTCCTGGAAGTGAGAGTGCCAATTAATGTTCTTTCACATGAACAGCATTGTAATTGTACATGCTCAGCTTTCAAAGGCATGAATAGAAAAATACTATCATGGATGTCTACTATACATGACTAAACTCGACTGTACTCAGTCTGTATGTACATTACCTATTTTCTCTCAGAAGGTACTGTTTTCCCTTTCCTATATATGGCATCATGAAAGTTTGGGAGTCAAACATTGTAAAAACAGAACAGGTATTGGAAGGGGACTTACTCCTGCTTCTCTTGCAGACACACACTGCAGTTATCACAGCACAGTTGGTGATGCAGCAGAGCAGGAGAAGTCCCACTGCCCCTGCTCCCCACGGTAGCCACTTCCTATACCTCTCAAAGAGAGATTCTGAAAAGAATCATGCAGTTATACAGATGTGTTTGACTAAACAGTTATCACAATGTGACATAGAAACACAGATTAATGCTGTTTTAGAATACCTGTTTCTTTCGATGTGCAGTCAGGGTGAGGGTCCCATACTCCAGTACTGGTACACTGAGTAGTGTACACATCAGTGGGACCATCTCTACACTGATAGGTAGCAGTACTGCCCACTGCAGTGGAGCTCATGTTGAATATCATGGTATCCGTAGAATTCAGTGTTGGACAGTCAACTATAAAGTGCAAATAAAATAGGGCAACAACACTTTCAGACAAACTTACTTGGAATAATGGTAATATCGACAGTGGAGATCATAGTAGCGGTGGAGCGAGGGAGAGTAGCTACACAGGTGTATATCCCAGTCATATTCCTGGTGGTAGTCACTATATCAAGTTCCCCACTCTCACTGACCATCTTCCCATCAGGAGAGATCCATTGTAAAGTTGGTTGAGGGTCTGAGTTTGACCCATCACACAATAGATGTAACGTATTGCCTTCAGTAACCTCTGTTTCCCCCATAATGGATGGAGGGTTGAAAACTGGTGGAGATATATTTAGTGGTAGTGATACCAACTATAATCTGCAAATAGTTACATACCTTTAAAGAGCAAAACTCCCACTTTTGCCATGAAAAATCCACTATTGCATGAACAATGTTTGTCGAAAACCTCACAGCATTGTATGGTTGTGTTCGAGAATGTATGAACACTCTACTGTCATTCACTACCAGTGTATCTGAATAATTATGTGGATAATTCTTCACCACTCTTCGCAGGGTGCTGTTGGCAGTAACATTTGTGTCATTCACCCTGAACACCACCTCACTTATTAACAGATTCTGTGTGTAGTCACATTCGAAGCATACTGTATCCAGGAAGGCATCCACATAGATGATGGTGTTATTGACACTGGTAAGGTTCACAGTTGTCCCACAATCCTCAGGTCCTAGCTCAGACGAGTAGACTGAAGCAAAACATTGAACCAAGCATAGCTGCATATCTTATGGACTTACCACAGCTCCACCAGATCCAGCATATCAACACAAAGTGGTAACGAATCGTAGTCAAGAAGGCTCGTGGCACGTGGAGCTTCATAACGGCTTCACCTTTTCCCACTAGCTCCGGCTCCCCATATGAGTGTGAGACATGTGATCGTGATGTTGGGAGCCGGAGTAGTGGGGGGGCGGTCGGTGCATCCACGGCGCGCAATTAGCGCGCGATCGATCCGCGATCGTCACATTTTTGCGCATGCGCTCTGTGTGTGGCTGACTGTTCAGTTGCACACTTCGTGTGTACGCTTCTGTTAGTGGGCATAGATCTACACTGTTTTCTTGTGTGTAATAAGTCAGTTCACTTAGGTTTGTTTGCTTGTCCTGCGTAACATGATCTCTTTAGGAGTACCATAAGCCACATTGACATCCATCTCCAACCTCTCTTCTCTTGTCTTCTGCTCTGATCCTGTGTTGGATAATGACATAGTTCGGATATTGTTGGAGAGTTTGCAAAATGTCTCACCTTTCTTTGTAAGAAGTACTATTTTTACAAGTGCTCCCACTAATAGGCCAGTTTGAAACCAAGACAACGAGAGCGCGAATTATTACCCCCATTTGACATGGTGAAGAGTAGACGTGTGTGCCTATGGGAGGCACATAAACTGCTTGTAAGAGGAAGTCGAGTTGAATGAGACCGAAAATTTGATATAGTCACATTCGAAGATGTACTGTATCCAGGGAGGCATCCATATAATGATGGTGTTATTGACCAAGGGTAAGGTCACAGTGTCCCAAATCCTCAGGTCCTAGCTCACGAGAGTACGATGAAGCAAAACATTGAACCAAGCATAGATGCATATCTTATAGATACCAAGACAACACCAGATAAGCATATCAACACAAAGTGGTAACGAACCGCCCTAATAAAGAAGGCTCGTGGCACGTGGGAGCTTATAACGGCTTCACCTTTGCCAAGCTCCGGCTCCCAATATGAGAGTGAGACACGTGTCGTGATGTTGGGAGCCGGAGTAGTGGGAGGCCGGGGGGCGGTCGGTGCTCCACGAGTGTTTCACGGAGCGTCAGCGCTCTGTGTGAGCCGACTGCTCATTTGCACCAAGGATAGCTGCAGATCTTATGGACTACCCAGACTCCACCACATCAGCATATCAACACAAAATGTGTAACGAATCGTAAACAAGAAGGCATCGTGGCACACGTGGAGCGATGCACGCCGTCCGTCACATGCCATATCGCGCGCCACGCGCAGTCAGCGCGCGCGCGATCGCGAGTGTCGCGTCGATCGCACATTTTTGCGCATGCGCATGTGTGGGCGGTATGGCGGACCAATTTGACATGGTGAAGAGTAGACGTTTGTCCTGTGTGAGGCACATAAACATGTTTGTAAGAGGAAGTTGCGTTTAATACAGTGACACGTACATTTTCATAGTCAGTTCACTTAGTCGTTTGCTTTTCCGCGTGCCCGGATCTTCTTTAGGGGTCCTAAGCCACGATTGACATCCATCTCCAAACACTCGCTTCTCTTGTCTTCGCTCTGTGCGTTGGTATTCGGACGTTATGACATAGTTTTTGATATTGTTGGACAGGTTACACACCAGTGTTTCAACGACCATTCTTGTAAGATACTATTTTTCAGCAATGCGCTCCAAGTAGTGACCAAGTTTGAACCAAGACAATGAGAGATAGCATTATTAGCCACACCCAACTGAATTGTGTAGAGTGACGATTGTCCTTTGTGGCAGCATAACCTGTTTTTTGTAAAGCGGTTTGCCGGTTTTTAATCGCACAACCAAGCAGAACAGTAATTGTTTGGGCAAACTATGTAACCACGGTAACCAAATTCTTTTCACCGTGGGTCCTCTGTACGCAATCCATAGTCAGAGTAGAGGGTGATGGTCCCATGACTCCAGTAGCTACTAGTACAACTGAGTATGTACACTCATGGACATCTCTCAGACTGATAGGTAGCAGTACTGTGCCATTGCAGTGATTCTCATGTTCACTATCATGGTAATCCGTAGATTAATTGTTGACATCAACTATAAAAGTGCAAATAAAAAGGACAACAATATTAGAACTAAAACTACTTGCAGATTATCTTCAAATCCACAGTGGAGAATAATTAGCGTGGAGCGAGGGATAGTAACTACACAGTGTACATCCAGTCATATTCATAGTGAAGTCACGATATCAAGTTCCCCACTCTCACTGACCATCTTCACCATCAGGCAGAGATCCATTGTAAAGTGGTTGAGGTCTGAGTTTGACCCATCACACAATAGAGTAGTGCACTTCCTTCAGAACCTTGTTTCCCCCATAATGGATGGAGGGTTGAAAACTGGTGGAGAATTTAGTGATAGTGATACCAACATAATCTAATTAGTTACATACCTTTAAAGAGCAAAACTCCTACTTTTGCCATGAAAAAATTCCCACTGCATGACCATGAAACCAGGTTAAAACCTCACAGCATTGTATGTTGTATCCCAGAATGTACTGAACACACTGCCACTGTCATTCACTACCAGTGTTCTGAAAAATTATGCTTCTATTTCCACCACTCTTCCCAGGGTGCTGCAGGAAGTAACAACTGTGTCATTCCCCCGACAACACCTCATCAATGAGACAAATATATTGTGTGGAACATTCGAAAGCATACTGTATCCAGGGAGGCTCCACATAGATGATGGTGTTATTGACAACTGGTAAGGTTCACAGTTGTCCCACAATCCTCAGGTCCTGGCTCAGACGAGTAGACTGAAGCAAAACATTGAACCAAGCATAGCTGCATATCTATGGACTTACCACAGCTCCACCAGATCCAGCATATCAACACAACTGTAACGAATCGTATCAAGAAGGCTCGGGGAAGTGGCGGCTTAAGACGGATTACCTTTCCCCCCCACTCGCTCACCACGTATCCGAGCGGGAGACATGTATCGTTGAGAAGTAGTGGGCGGTCCCGTGCATCACGACGTTTTGCCACAGCGCGCATCCAGCGCGCGATCAGTCCGCGATCGCACATTTTGCGCATGCGCTATGTGTG